GAGCTGACCTGTGGTCAGTCTCGTCCCCTCGTCTTCACTCAGGGACACACGGTGTGTAACCGCTCCTTCTTCCCATGCTTCGACACACCAGCTGTGAAGAGCACGTACACGGCAACCATCAGGGTGAGTCCTGACCTCTGACCCCGTAGACCTGGGTCCAAACATCAGCCGAACGTTTTGTCTTGTGTTTGTGGCCTCGGAACCAACAGAACCATCGGTGTGAGGCGGAAACTAAACATCTGGCTGTTCCATTTTGTAACAAGATGATTGAGTCAGCCGAAGCCAGGAGACTGACAAAAATAAAGACAGGTGTGGTGGGTTTTATGTTTCTGGACATGAAAACAGCTAAAGAAACGAAGTAAAGAACACTGAGAGCTGAAGAAGCTCAAACTGAGTTTTTAGAAGAAGCGGAACACAAGTTCAAAGTTTAAATTAGCCAAAGGTTACCTAAAAGGCAAAAGGCTAAAAGGCTAGCTAAAAGAATAGAATAGTAGCTGAAAGGTCATCGAAAAGCATAAAACGAAAAGAGAGATGAAGCTTCAAGAACTTTTTTATATTTATATATTTTTATAGTCCAGACGTGTCGAACTCACTTAGGGGCCAAAATTAAAACGTTCAAACTAAGGGCAGTTTCAGAATCTACATGAACTCAAGTCCGATACTCAACAAGAGTTTGATTGGTCTCATTTGATGTTCTCTGTTGCACTTTGGACATCATAATCAAAGATTACTGAAAAAAATAAAATCAATAAAAGTGTTTTACATGTAAAATAACATCTTGGGGGCCAGATAAGATGTCAACGAGGGACACGTTTGGCCCCCGGGCCTGGAGTTTGACACATGCTTTAGAGAAAAAATGTAAATAAATGTAAATATTTCTAAAAGTTGAAAAGTCACAGCACCCACCTCCTGAAGGAGCCGCACGTTTTGCTTTACGAACGGCTCAAATAGCACAAAGTGTGCAGAAGTAGTTGGAATGACAAAAAGTGTACGGACAAACCAAACGGTGTGAACGCTGAATCCAGATTCGCTCTGATCTGGTTTTCATCTGGTTCTAAAATGATTCTGTGATTTTTCTCCACAAACACCCAAGAACAAAAATCCTGAGTAAAAATAAAAAGCAAAGAAACGATGACTGACATCGTGTCTCCTCCTCCTCCTCCTCCTCCTCCTCCTCAGGTACCAGACGGTGTGACGGTTCTGATGAGTGCGTCTCAGAGCTCGTACTCTAAGCTGGATCGGGTCTTCCAGTTTTCCATGGAGTTCCCCGTCCCATCCTACCTGGTGGCGCTGGTGGCCGGCGACCTGCAGCACGTTGACGTCGGCCCGAGGTCAGTCAGGCTCACCTGAGTGGGCGGAGCTAATGACATCACAAAAAGCAGACGGTTGTTTGACTCTCACTCTGCGCAGGAAGCAGCAGAAATCTTCACTAAAATGTTGGAAAATTAACTTTAAAATACGGTGCGAGTTCAGGACGGTCACTGAAACAGAGTTAAACAAAGCTGCAGTTAGCAAAACAGTAGCTAAAAGCTAAAATGAGTGAAGCAGTAGCTAAAGGCTAAAAATGAAGGCAGCAGTTGAAGATTTCAAAGAGCACAAAGTGTTTTAAGAACGTTTCAGCAAGTCTCCGTGAAAATTTGAGGAAAAAATAGTAAATAAAGTAAAACTTCTAAAAACCGTAGTATAAATGTTGCGAACACCAAAAGTCAGGTTTTGGTACCTGAAAGGCTGAAAAAGCTGAAAATCTTCTGAAGAATTTAGACAATAAAACATTTAGAAGAAACTTTAAACAGCAAACCTCAGATTGAAACGTTGTTCTCGTCTTCCTTCAATCAGGAGTCGCGTGTGGGCGGAGCCATGTCTGCTGCCCTGCGCGGTGAAGAAGCTAGGGGGTAGCGTGGAGCGCTGGCTCGGCGTGGCCGAAGATCTGTTCGGACCTTACCTGTGGGGCAGGTGCGACATCGTCTTCCTTCCCGCTTCCTTCCCCATCGTCGCCATGGAGAACCCCTGCCTCACCTTCATCATCGCCTCCATCCTGGAGAGCAACGAGTTCCTGCTGATCGACGTCATCCACGAGATCGCCCACGGCTGGTTCGGCAACGCCGTCACCAACGCCACCTGGGAGGAGATGTGGCTGAGTGAAGGCCTCGCCACGTACGCGCAGCGAAGGATCACCACCGAGGCCTACGGTAAGGTGCCACCAACTACTACCGAAGCTTACTGAGTACTACAGAGGTGTACCATGAGAGAGACTGCAAGTACCGTAGAGTACTACTGAGTACTACAGAGGTATACCATGAGAGAGGCTGC